CTCACTCCATTACTGCGAATAGCTCATCAAAACACTTATTGTAACAATGAGACAATTCTTCAATGGATATCCATGGAAAATCTGAAGCTAATACATGTCGCATTTCATTTCGCATTTGGTTTATGAGCCCAACACTCCCCCACTGAGTTGCAGTGCTGTTATTCATTTGATTCTGGTCTGGGGGGCTAGGTTGTGCGGCTCTTGACGCCCTCTATAGGCACGATGTTCGTTGTCCGAGATGGTATAGGGGCCAGTATTTCCGCCTGTCACGCAGAAGACACTCACGAAGGATCCAGTTCGAGCGCAGATGGTGATCTGCAGGATGACTCGTATAGTTCGCTGCAGGGCAGTGAGACAGATAGTTCTTCTCCATCATCTCACACACAAGTTTTTAGGAGAGAAGGATAATTTTTTGGAAAAAGAGAGAAAGGAGGACTAGGATATAACAGATAGTTATAACGTTCATCCTCCTGTGAGAGACAATTAAAGGGCGAACCCAATAAGAATTAGCCTAGCACTAATGATCTCCATTCTTTTAGATAAGATGGGCACGTCGATTTGCCGTGCACCGACGAAGTCATTGCCACCTGTTTTTATGCTCCCTTTTTCTTTTCATACCTGCAACCTAAAACGACATTAACAAGATTCGAACCTGGGTCTTATCGCTCAGCTCAGCGGTATCTAATAGCCCATGGGGCGAGTCTCTAACCCCCTACCAGAAGCGGTGCTTGCCGGGGATGCCAGTGTATCCGTAGCAGCATCTAGCGTAGTGGTGGGAGCACCAGCTGAACATCTTGAAGTACCCGGTTCCATTCCTGGCTATGACTCCGTTACGGTCGGGACTCGAGCCTTCCATTACTCAGCTCCAGACCGACCCCGCCGGCAGTCCGGCGACGACCTCCCATTCCTTTCCCTTGGTGGCTGGATTGCGCTCTACGCCTCCACCAGGCTGAAAGCCAGGCTGGGTCTGCGGGGAATCATACCCGGGTCCCCTCGATGCCGACGAGACATTCTACCGCTAAACCACAAACGCTGAAGAAAGTAACAATACCTGCGGGTCGCGGGCCCACTACCAATCCGACCCTCACAGATAGTCCAAATAGAGAATAAACCGAAATGATTGCCTCCGTAGCCCAGTGGGATAAGCGTTGAGCATAATATCTGCGGCGACCTAAAATACGGTGGTCCGAACTCCCGCCCTCGGTTGTAACCCGCCACATTCACTAAACCGAAGGATTAGTGAATGTGGCGGGTCCGAGATCAACAATATCTCAGTCGGTCGAGCCCGCTTTAGACCTACGGTGACCTAGGTTTTGCCCTGATAGCTAACGGGATGGCGTTCCTGGCTTACTGGTAAATTGCTGAATTAAGAAAAGAATCGAGGTTCGAATCTTCGCTGGGACAATCCCCAACTACCCAAGCACCAACCAGCCCGGAAGCAAGTATCTCGAAGGTGGTACTCGTGGCCGGATTGCTCGCGTTAGACTTACCGTGACCCGGGTTCTGCCCCGGTAGTCTAACATAATGGCACCAAGGTCGGA